AGTACTATTTATGAAAATGCCATGTTTCCCACAACTGTTTCAGGCTGCTATGCCAATGAAATGAACCATACCTGTTTAGAAAAAAATTAGTTTACACTTGGCTATTGGTAGCTTCTCAAATCGTGAAGACATTTTTCTTCTGGACTACTTTTGTTCTTAGTTCAGGAATAGCCCAGAGGCAAATGCCCTAAGATTTTAAAGCAGGACATCTGAGAGGGCTCATATCCAGTGATGAATCTTGCTCAGAGTACCCAGACAGGGGAAAATTCTGAGTTCAGAAATTCAAAGCATTTGGGAACCTTAAAATGGATTAATTAATGATTAATAAATAATTAACTAATTATTGAATGCCTACTGTGAACCAGGCACCAGGCGAGGCCCTAGGGCAGTATCCCACCTCCTTTTATCAATGAAGAGCCAAGGAATTGCCCAAAGCCACACAGAAGTGGGGCAAAGATTTACACTCATCACCTAAATTCGTTGCTCTTTGTCCTGGAGTGAGGCCCTCCTTTGGAATCCTCAATTTCAGTCTTCATTCCTTCTGGATACCACCCAAACTGTCTGCAGCAACACTGCGAGGCTTACACCCAGCTCCTCCTCCCTCCCGCCCCCCATTAAAACACTCCCAAGGTATAGCTCTTCTACAGAAACCAGTTGGAAGCCATATTTGGAAAGGATCTGATACTAACTGATCACTTGCTGGTTACTTCTCCCAAAGGGTTGGTAGTTTGACAACAGTGAGGCTGAACCTCAGGTCTGAGCAGCCATCTGGATTAACCCTACTGGGTCAGGACTGGCCACATAGTCTCAATCCATGCTCCATCCATTCTTCAGACCACAGTGCTACTTCCTCAAGAGTCTTCGCAAGCTCCCCATTGCCTGCGGGTCCACATGCAGCTCCTTGGGTAGATATCCAAGGCTTTCTGTCTGCTAACTTTGTCTCCTCACCTCCTCAGTGCTCCAGTAACCTACCCACTCTGCCCTCCCCTTGGGAGCCCGCTCCTTCTGGCTCCCCTGCACCTACCTGTACAACCCCCTCGAATGCTTTGGGGCCAGGAACCACTCCTGCTGACTTTACCTGTCCCTCCCCAGAACTAGAGATGTGCTTACACCTTGAATCTCTCTCCCTCATTGCCATTATTCATTTCTTTGCATTGTTCATAAGTTTCCCTGGGATGTATTTCGCCACCCACTGGGGACAGTGGCCTAGCACTGCTCTTTCTCTCAGATCCCTCGCAATGTGGCTAGGATAGTGAAGGCCTAGAGTGGGCACTTCAGAAATACTTGCGATGGGAAGAACCCAGGCAAGGGGAAGTGGGGCAAAGCAGATCTCGTCTCCTCGAGGCCTCAGTTTAAAGGTCTTTTCTTCAGAAGCCCACCTGTCCTGGTGTCTCCCCAAATGTTCACAGTTGGGTTCTATTCCCTCTGAGCAGCCATTTTTCCTCCTGGCACTCATCACACTTTACCTTATTTCTTATGTGACTGTGTTGAGTGCCTGTCTCCCACTGACTAGAAGCTCCACTGAGCACCTATCCAGTTGACCTCTGCATCCCAGCATCCAGTCTCAAAACTACCTGTTGGAAGAACAGATTAGAGAAAGAGAGGACATACCTGCCTCTGGTGCCTATAATTGCGCTCAGGAGCTCCCTAATGGAGCACTTCATCTCTCTAGTCTAGACCAGACTCGGTCTGGAAGGACCCGTATCTATGGGGTTGCTACAACTCTAGCCACAGAGCAAACTGGCGGTTCCCTTTTCCTGAGTGTTAAGTGCATGCCAGGCGCTGTACTGAAGGCTTCCCCCGCAGCATCATGCCCAGAGGTACGACCATCAGCTCCGTTTTACAGATGAGGGACCTGAGGCTCAACACTCCTACCCCTCCAAGCCCCGCTGGCTGTGGTGTCTCCCATCTTTCAGGGGAGAGGATCTGAAGTGCAGGGAGTGGCCCAGGAGCCTCAGAGATCTTTTGAAAATGCACCAAAGCTACCCCTGCCCTCAAGGGAATGAAACCCAGCTGCTGGAGAACAAACTGGAAACCAACAGGGGTCCTGTCTGTGCAGACACAAGTAAAGTCGATGCAAACGGGTCCGTGGGCCTGGTCAAGCCAGAAACAGCATGTTAGAATGGACAGTGCTTGGGGACTCTGGTTTGGGTTAGTCAGAAACCCATCTGTGCCCAATCCTTGCAGGGCATTCAAAGTTCTTTAACCCACTCTCTCAATTGTCTCTCCCCTCCACAGAGTGGCGAGTGGCGGTACCGATGCCGCAAGTCCACATGGAGCTCAGGGAAGCAGCCCGCTCAGGCCCACGAAGGTGGGAAGTGATGGAATCAGGGGTAGCATCAGCAGCCTTAGCAGCAACTCAGGTGTGGGCACGGCCAAACCTCATTTGTGCAGATGTAGCAGCTGGAGGAACAGCTGCGGGTGAAACGCTGGCCTCCAGCGTCCAGCTGGGAGCCACCAGCTTTCCTGGGACGCTCCTTGGTGGGAAAGCCCCGCCAAGGCTGTTCCCCATGCCAACAGCCTTCAGTCAGAGCACACCCCAAGTCCTCCCCTTTTCTACCATAAAACTTGACCACCCCACTAGCCACTGAAAAGCAAGCCATAGTGGCTGGCTCCCTTGCTCTGAACTCAGAATAGAGAGCCTTCGCTTATTTTCCTGTGGGCGATCTTCATTTATTTCCACACCTCCTCATTGTCTAATTGCTTTGTGACTCAGTTTTCTTACCTGTAAAATAGGGTAATAACTCTGGGCATAAATCTTTGGGAAGAAAACTGCTTTGGATTGTGGGGGAGCTTCGTAATGTTACCCCCTCCCTGGGTCACCTCTGATCTCAATCCAGCTGCCACATAACCGACGTCCCTCTTGTTCTTAGCACACCTGAGTATATCCACATGTCCAGCCCCTTCTTTCTTCTCAAGAGAGGACCCTAAAGCACAGGCAGGGAAAGTGCCTGTGGAGGCCTCTGAGAAACCAGTATGTCTCCAGTGTCTCCCCACGGGCTCCCAGACTCCAAAAGCAAGTACATGAGCCTATCAGGAACTCCACAGGTGTCGGCGTATACACATGGTGAAACGAAGCAGGCTCCAGAGAGCGAAACGCACCCAGGAGTGAGTTACCAGGAGCCACGGCAGCATCCCAACCGGCGCAGGTTAGTCGTGGCCTGTACGGAACTCTGCCCTCTGCATGCACGTTCCCTCCTTGGTTTCAGGGCGCCCCTCACAGCCTCCAACCATCTTTCATTCAAGGAGGCTGGCCGGCTCCAGAGAGGTCCCTTCGCCTTTTCTGAGGTCAGCTTCACCCAAGGCTGCCCCACCTTCTCACTGTCAGACAAAAGCGAGAACACAATGGTCACAGTTACCATTCTTTTTAGCACCCCGCGGTGCACTATTTTAATAGCTTTGCATGTCAACTATTAATCCTCAGAACAACTCTCAAAGTGTGTACCATTATGAGCAGATCCACTTCACAAACAGGGATGTCACAGAGAGTCAGGTGATTGCCCAAGGTCACATGACTAGCAAGAACAGCGATGAAAAACCACCCCTAGAGCTGAACTCTTCCCGCCTCACTGCACCGCCTCTGAATGTTTTCAGGTTAACACAGATGCTCATAGAAGAATCTTTGGGGTGTTTCAAAGTTGGGAGCAAGATTTATTGACGTTTCAGAAAAATGCTGGGTTCTATCTCATTCGTTTCTGGTTCACTCTGGATCCACAAACATTCGCTAACCAGCAAGAAGTTGGAGAGGACAGAAATGAATAAGGCCTTCTCTACCTCGGCGGGTCCAGCACTTCCCTGGGCATGAAGAGGCCGCCCTGCTAGTCCTCCCCCCAATCACGCCAAGGCCTCCCAGGTGGTGGGCTGTGTCTCACGTTCAGAAGAGAAGAGGGCAGGGTGTATGTGTCACTGGACAATACATGGGACACCAGAGGGCTGAATTTGACATCCGGATTCTTGGGTCCCTGACCAGACCTGTGAAGCCAGGCCCTCCAGTGCAGCCGCCTGAGAACCTGCACCCCAGATGACTCTAACCCAGCCGTGGGCAAACTACGGCCCGCGCTGTTCTATCCGGCCCGCGGAGCTGAAAGAGCGGAGGGTTCTCTTGCTCTCCCCTCTGCTCCTTCACCAGCAGCAGTGTTAACATGTATTAGTTCACACAAACACTCCATCCATGCCTTTGTTCTGGCCCTCCGGTCCAGTTTAAGAACCCATTGTGGCCCTCGAGTCAAAAAGTTTGCCCACCCCTGCTCTAACTCATAGTCTGGGAGACAGTGACCCCAGACCTGGGATTCTCTGAAGTCCCTTTCTAGGGACAGTCAATGCAGCCTGTATTTTAAGCTGGAAGAGCTGCACACCGACCTGTGCCCTGCATCGGGCCCTAAGCAACAATCCCCAGTGCTCGGTGGAGAGGGGACAGAGCCGTGGGAAGGCTCCTCTGGGCCCCCAGGTGGATGCTCCTTTAGCCTTACCTGATTAGGACCCAGGCCCTGAAGGCGCGGGGCCAGATGAGGCCAGTTGGTGGAGACCTGTCTGCCCCCCACTGCACTCTGAGCTGCAGGAGCAAAGAGGCCAGGTTTGTGCATTTTTATTGGTTAACTCCCTCCTGTCACCCTCTCCCTCCCTCTGACACTGGGACTTTCAGTAATTGTCAGCTGAATGAATAAATTAATGACAGAGGGAGACAGACGTGCTAACAGCTAACAGTAATTCGAGCAGAACGGAGTAAGTGCTAAATGGTGGTGGGATGAGTCATTACTGCTGACAGGGAAGGAAGAGGGAAGAGGCATTCATCCTCTCTCCCCTGAGCTGTCAAAACAGACTCAACTGCCTCCCTTCCTGTCTCCCCCACACTGGGAGAAAGCAGAATACGCATGCCCGGAGGAGGTTAGATTAACTCCAAAACAAACATCCACATGGCCACCCCCTCTCCCACCCCAGAGTAAGAAGTAGAACCTGGCCAGAACCCCAGAAGCCTCCTGCGTCCCCCTCCATGACAGCCCGTCACCCCCTCTCCCCTCCTCCAAGCTCTGTGCTGAGTCTGCTGTGGCCCATTTTCTTGCCTCTTTTTGTAGATTGGCCATGAACGTATGCGTCGCTAGATAACGCATTGTCTAGAGTTGCCCGGTTGGGATTTTCTATGACTGCAGTTTCTTCTGTGGCCTGCAACATGATTTTTTGGAGGGTTGCCCGTGTAGATGCTTTGGTGGTAGTTCATGCCTGCTCATTGCTGCTCATTCGGCTCTGTTATGTGAACACCCCTCATCCAATAACCTGGTGGTTATTGGAATTGTGTCCAGGCCCCGGTGATCACTAACAATGCTGCTGTGTGTGACTCCTAGTCCCTGGCGCAGGTCCGCTGCTGGGTTCTTACGCTGCTTCATGGTGCGGTTCCTTCCATCTCGCTCCCCGCTCTTCTGCAGGAGGCTCGGCTGCTTAAACTCCCTTTGGCTACTCGAGCGCCAGCATTCACGTCGACATCCCAGCTAAGTAGGAGGAGAGAAAAAGAACGTTCATCACTCTTTTTGAATACACTTTCAGAAAATTGTACAGGACACTTCCTCTTATATCCCAGTGGCCAGATTTAATCTCATGGACACAACTACCTGCACCTGATCCTAGAAAATGTAGCCTTTATTCTTGGCGCCCTTAGTTCCCCCTAAGACCTGGGAGTTCTGTCATTTAAAGACGAGACAATGGATCTGTAGGACAATGACCACTCTCTGCCATAGCTGTCCTTGCTCAGAAGAGAATTTCCAAGCAATTCTGCCTAATATTCTCACTACACAAACGTACACGCATTACATATCCCACAACACAAATGCTGGTGAGTCATAGGCATATTTTAACAGGCCAAGGCCTTAAACATTGATAAGTATATTCACATCGTCGTTCAACTAGTCTCCAGAACTCCAAATGCAGCCGTCGCATCTACATTTCAGCTAGCAAAAAGGAGAAAAGAAAAAGAAGGTTTCATCACTCTTTCTGAATTCACTTTCAGAAAATTCTGCAACACTGCTCACCTCGGAAACTGTGGTGCCCACATGGCCGTGTTAAAGTGAGTTTTCCCCAGTCTTTCATCTTCCAAACCTGAAACTAAACCCATTAAGGGCAACGCCTCCTTTCCCTGCTTCCCCCGCCCCTGGCATCTACCCTTCTACTTTCTGCGTCTATGAATTTGACTGCTCTAGGTACCGCATATAAGTGGAATCATATACTATTTGTCTTTTTCTGACTGAGGTATTTCATAAACGCCTCAAGGTTCATCCCTATTGTAGCATGTGATAGGGTTCCCTTCCTTTCTAAGGCTGAATAATATTCCATTATATGTAGAGACCACATTTCATTTGTCCATTCACCCCTCAGTGGACACACTGAGTTGCTTCCACCTCTTGACTTTGTGCTATGAACATGAGTGCACAAATAACTCTTCAAGACCATACTCTCAATTCTTTGGGGTGTATGACCAGAATCATAGGGGTATTTGCTTGGTCAATGGTAATCCTATGTGTAATATTTTGAGGAAGCTCATATTGCTTTCCACAGTGGCTGCACCATTTTATGTATCCACCTACAGCGCATGGCGGTTCCCACGTCTCCATAGCATAACCACACTTATATTTTCTGTTTTTTTATTTTGTTTTTATAGTCATCATCTTGAGTGTGTGGTGTTTTACTTTTTGAAAATTCTTGCTAAAAAACAAACCAAAAAAAAGCTCGGCCAGTGTGGCTCAGTAGTTGGGGCACATGTGTCCCAGGTCAGGGTACATGCCTGGACTGTGGGCTCGATCCCCAGTGGGGGGCATGCAGGAGGCAACCAATCAATGATTCACTCTCATCATTGGTATTTTTTTCTCTCCCTTCCTCTCTGAAATCAATAAAAATATGTATTTTTTAAATTAAAAATAAAAACTCTTGCTAAATGAACTCAGACCCTGACATATCAGTGTTTATGGAGTGAATGAATGGATGAATGAATGATGAATTTGACCACAACTGGATGAGGTAGTTTTGGTTTCCAGGATATGTTCTATGAAGAAATAGTTTCTAATAGGTCGGTGTCTTGTCCAAGGTCAAAAATTTGAACTGCAAGCCCACACACCCTGTACAGAACAGTTTTCGTCTGAGCTCTAGGGTTTGTTCCTGCCTGCCAGGCTCCAAAGGCCCACCTTCAACCCTCCTGGTGAGCAGCTCCTGTGGGTGAGGGCGAGGCAGCTCCTTCCTAGAGTCTCCTCTCCCGTCTGGTTCCATCTTGCACAAGGAGAACAAATCCAAGAAAAAGAAACCTGCTGGCTTGCAAAATCCAATTACCCCAAGCTGCGCCCCCCTGGGTGGGGGGCCCATGAGGCATGCTCTGTGGCTGAGGAGTGGGCATAAGCCCAGCTAGCTCTCCCCTCCCACCCAGCTCTCAGTAGGGCAGAGCGAGTCCAGTCGCAGTTCAGCAACACTCCCAGGCCCACTTGAAAGCTGAAGCAAGTGACTGCCACTGCAGGGCAGGGTGAGAACTCCTCCGGATGCCTGCAGGCTTATGCTGGGCTGACTCACTTCCTCACCTTAATTCTCCCCTAATACCTTCCCTTTCTCCGCAGCTTTACTCCCAGCACCACTGTCTGCGTGTGGAATGTCTGGGGAAGCTGAGCAGGTGGGTCGGCTGCGCTGTCTGCCCAGATATTACAGGCCTGACCATGACTGGGAGAGAGGATGTGGGGGGCGAGAGTGGGGAGGCGAAGTAAAGCCAGATTGTCTGCTAGCTCTGAAGTGCAACCTAACCCCTCAGCCAGTTTGATTCTGCAAGCCTGAGCACACGTCATCACCTCCAGGCAGGAGTCCTGAGGGCCGGGAGCAGCTGGAGGATGGAGCAGAGGATGGAGAGGAGCAGAGGAAAGGGTGGGGAGCCATAGGGTTCCAGACACTTCCATCCCATGCTGCCTTCCCTGGGGAAGCTCTCACGTGCCATCCCCGGGGGAACAGGGCTGCATCCTGAAGGTCAAATTTAAAGGTTATGTTATGTGTGTAGGTTTCCTGGACAAGTCAGAAGAGGTCTTGCTACTAGCCTGGGTCTGCCTATTTGAGGAAGTACCACTATTCCTCTCACCTATGTTCTTTCCTTCCCTGTCTACTACTAAACCACTCTTTTAGGATCCTGGATTCTTCATCTCTATCTCCTTAGCGTTGCTTCCTGAATCTACCTGCCTCAGCGTGTACATTGTAAGAGAGAAATTAGAGCAACGTTTTAATTTTTTTTAAAGTAATTCATTCATATAGCTCAGAGTCAAATAGTGGTGGAATACAGGAAAAAAGAGCCCTCTCCCTCATCTATACTCCTTCAGTTTTTATGACTCATTCTTTTGGCGTTTATCACAATTCCCTAAATAATGTAGTTGTATTACTACTTCATGATTTTTCAGTTTTAGGCACTACTGATTGTCTTTCTCATTCCAACAGCCCACTCACACTTCCTGGCCCCCATCCTCCCAACATAGCCATGTAGTAATTTGGTTAGAACAACAGTGTTAGAGCAACAGACAGTGTTTACATTATTACCACCAGGTAAACACTATTTCCATGTGTTTACACAATAAGCCCTGGGATGGACTATGATTACTTCTCTTTTCATGCACATGTTTTTGTTTCCCCTGGAGTTAATAATTATTGCCCCTGCCCCATTCACTTAGTTTTCTTCGTACTCAATGCCAGATTCTTCCAGTTATTGAACTCTCCCCTCAGTACATTCAGATGACAGTCCACCAGTTTTATTTTATTGAAGACATCTCTCCTGGAGCTTTCTGAACTAGTTTGATTTAGGCTGGCTGCCCTCTAGGCTTGTTGCATTGTGTTCAACCTGCAATCTATCCACTAATATCCTGGGGGATTCTCTCCTGTGTCAGGTTCCTGATGTCTGTGTTTTCTTGGTTTAATACTTTATTTTGGAGAAACACATCCTCCAGCATCTTCATGAGTCCATGAAAAAGATATTTTAAATCTCAAATGACTAAAAATGTCTTTTTCTACTTTCAAACTTAATTGATAGTTTGGTTGGGTATAAAATTTGAAGTTGGGGATAATTTTCCTTCAGAATTTTGAAAGCATTGCTTAAGTGTCTTCTAACTTCCAGTGCTTCTATTAGACAGTCAAGACATTCTAATTCCTGACCTGTTCCCCAATCCATTGGGAAACTTGTAGAACCTCCTGTTTGTTTTCCGTGTTCTGAATTATAGTGACTTGTCTTGATGTATGTCTATTTTCATCCATTCTGTCAGCCACTCAATGGACCCTTTTAATCTGTTCTTCAGTTTTGAAAAAATTTCTATTGTACTTCTTTGATCATTTCCTCCACCCCATTTTCTCTGTTTTTGTTTGTTTGTTTTTAGTTTTTTTTTTTCTGGAACTCCTATTATTTGGAAGGTGAGCCTCCTGGAGAAGCCCTCTGATTTTCTTATCGATTCTCTCCAACTTTCCATGTCTTTTTATTACTTTCTAGGAGATTTCCTCAATTTTCTCTTCTAATACTTCTATTGAGTTTTTTTGGGGGGAGGGGATATTTTTTATTTTTAAGAGCTCCTTTTGCCTTTTTTTCAATATATTTTATTGATTTGTTTTAAGAGAAGAAGGGAGAGGAAGAGAGAGAGAGAGAAACATCGATGTGGGAGAGAAACATCGATGGGTTGCCTCTCACATGCACCCTGACCAAGGATCAAACCCACAACCTGAGCATGTGCCTTGACTAAGAATCAAACTGGTAACCTTTTGGTGCATGGGACAACACTTCACCAACTGAACCACACTGGCCAGGGCCCCTTTGCCTTTTCTTTTCTTTTTAAAAAAATATATATTTATTGATTTCAGAGAGGAAGGGAGAGGGAGAGAGAGATATAGAAACATCAATGATGAGAGAACATCATTGATTGACTTCCTCCTGCATTGCCCCTTACTGGGGATTTGAACCTGCAACTCAGGCATGTGCCCTTGACCAGAATTGAACCTGGGACCCTTCAGTCCACAGGCCGATGCTCTATCCACTGAGCCAAACTAGCTAGGGCCCCTTTTGCCTTTTGAATGTTCTGCCTTTAATAAACAATGATATTATACTCTTGTTTCAGCTTATATGACATGTATAATATCACTCTAAGGATATTAATGATAAGTTTTTTGTTTTAAGATTTTTTTCTTCTCCCTGACTAAGCCATATTCTTCAAGTATTTTTGTGGCTGCTGTCTTTTTTTTTAATGTCTGCCTTTCATGTTAGATATTTTTGTCAGATGTCTAATGATGTTGGTTTTCTGAATGGAAGCACTAAAGAGCTGATTGGAAACTCTGAGCATATGGCTGGAGCTTTTCGATTGGCTGAGCCATTTCATTGGTGAAGCTGTTACCAGCATCGTTAGGTCTTTGCTGGGTGGGGAGCGAGTCAGATTCCCCAAGCACACTTTTATTCAGCCCCTGGAGTGGCAGTGTCCTGGGTGCTGAGTGCATGAGCAGGCTGGAG